CCAGTTGGAATTGAACTGGCAACCTTGCGAATGCGACCTGGGAGTGCTAACCACTGCACTACTGACCCGCAGGTCTTTGTTTTTTTTTTGAACTTGTATCTTCTTATATTTCTTTTTCATTCTTTTGTGTCTCTTGCTCTCTGTTGCTGTCTTTTTGTATTCTTTTATTATCTCTTTGGGTTTTGCATTTTCAGAACATTAAGGTTCCATTGTATCAAACTTTTTTCTTGATAGCCATATTCATGTCTGTTTGGCTTTTGAATAATATTACTGTATAATCTCTTGGCCTTTCCCATCTATTCAGTAGTATATATACTGCTATTGCCTTTCTAACCTTAAGTTCTCTTAGAAGGATTAGTTTAGATATTCCTTTTAGTATTCCTTTTAGTCTTGCTATAAACTGATTTTTTTCTTTTTTTCTTTTTTTTTCTTCTTCATCTACTGTTATTCTTGCTAGTTTTCTATTTCTTAAAGCAATTACCCATAGGAATATCTGTTTAGTTTCTTCTTTAACTTTAATTACTGCTGCTATCCTATATATGCTTTTTTTCATTTTGTATGAGGATATATTTCCTATTTTTCTTACTAAGTACTTGATCTTTTGCTTTAAAATTTCTTTTAATAGGTTTTATACTATAAGCATTACTAAGTTTTCTTTATTTTTTTTGTCTATGTTCTCTTCTCTTTGGCTTTTTATTTTGCCTTTTGTTTTTTTTTTCTTCTATATTTTTCTTCTTTTTTATTGTTTTTCTTTCTTTTTTGTCTTCTTTTTTTCTTTTATTTCACTTTTATTTTTATGTTATTCTGTGTTAGAAATTATTTTAAACCAGTTATTGTGTTTTCTTTGAATCTTATTAATTGCTTTTTTTCTATAATATTAACAATCAAAATTAACTACAATTCAAGCATTACCATTCTTTAACACTTTTTTGACTTCTATCACATATTTGTTAGTTATTAGTAGTTTCTTTACAAATTTTGTTCTTTCTTCTTTTAAGCTGCCTGGCATATTATATGTTTGTATTTTTGTCACATATATTATGTTTTATTGCAATCTCTGTTCACAAATGATCATATACTTTGTTCTAGTAGTACCTTTATAAAGCTGTTTTTCTTTATTTTGTGTTTCTATTTCTTTTTTCTCTCTTTTTTTTTTTAACTTCTAATTGTTGCTATTATATCTTAACAATCTTGCTATATTACATTTGCTTTAATGTTTTAATTTCTTCTTCTATGTATTTGTCTATTGTTGTTTCTATTGTCATACTTGTATCTTCTGTATCTTTTATATCTTCTTTATTTCTTCTCCTTTTTTATCATTCTTTTTCTTCTTTATTTGTATTCTGTTATAGTTCTTTTTTCTCTATTACTATATCTACTGCATCTGTTATTTGTCTCATCTTCTCTATACACATTTTGAACGTAGTTACTTTTTCTTTTGACATTGTTTGATTTTTCTTACTACTTATGCTTTCTATTGCTATTAGATGTTGGTTTATATGATTTATTTCTTCTGTTCATTTTTTTACACTGGTTGGGTCTTTTATATCTACTTTAATTATTGCTTTGTATATTTTTCTTAGCATTATTATTTCTATTAAGTCTGTCTTCCATAATGCTGCTGCAACTATAGTCATACCTGGGTTATATCCCCCCTTTTTTCAAAAAGTTTTTGGAGATATAACTCGAGTAGGGATATAACTTAGGTACAGATAAAAATAGGCATATTTAGTTATATGACATTAAACCAATCAAATTATGAATTTTATTAATAAAGAATTAATGTTATACAATCAATTAAGTGTTCTTAAGCAATACACTCATTATAATTAGCTAGTGTCATGAAGCTTTTAACTCAAAAGTTAAGCATACTATACTATATTGACTACCAAAGAGTCAAGTCAGATATGTATCTCTATTTGAATTATATTTGTTTCTTTATTTATACTTTTTCTTATATACTTACTTTGACTATTCTAATTACATTATACTTCAATTATTCACATTTGACTTTTTAATTAATTACTAATCATGCTATTTTCTATGAACTTTATTATAACATTTTTCATGCATTGCTAAACATAAAAAATGTGTCTTTTTTATTTGTGATGATTTTAATATAAGCTTAAATAATAAGGTAATAGTTTGTTGATATTAGTAATGATTTTGAAGATCCATAATAATAATAATATAAAAAGAATGAAGTATTTGAATAACTATTTTTTTTAATTAATAAATAAAAAATTTCAACCAATAAGTGCTACTCTATAAAAAAAAAACTTCAGGGCCTTTATTTTGAGTTTACCAGAATGATCACCAAAAGTCTGGATCAGATAATCAGTGTTACAACCACAGCACATATAGATTTCTATATAAGGTTAAATTATATACACCTTCTTATTAAATAAGTTATAGCTGCAGCACTTGTCTGCGAATAACCTGTGTTTTAAGAAGATAACATAATTTAACTTTATATAAAGATCTATATATGCTGTGATTGTAGTGCTGGTCATCTGATTTGAACTTTTGGTGTTCATCTGGTGAACTCTTCATCTCTTGTTAACTGGAATAATAAACATTCTTGATCAGTTAAATAATCTTTCACTAATAAGTTTTACTTTTTGATATATTAAACTTTTATTACATGTTTTATTCATTGAAATATCAATACATTTGATCTGTTAAACTATTTTTACCAATTAAAGTTATTCTCAGACCATTCTGACAAATTAATTAAAGTGCTTAAGAACACTCTATGACAATATATGTCTAATATAAAGAATATTAATATAAAAGGTATTGTTTTATATATTTTATACTTGTTTGGGCTAAGTCAGCAAATTATTTACTAGGCCAGAAGTAATTTTTATTTAAGCAATTAATATACATTAGTACAGTACATAACATAAAAGTGAATAATTGACTAAAATTGGTCAAGAATGATAAACATTTTATGAAATTTGCAAAATGATTGTGTTAGAAGTTACTACAAGATTGATAAACTAATGATTTTCTTATCATGAAGTGAACCAGCTGTAAGCAGCTAAGAGCAAAAAATGCAAACAGTATGTGAACAGAGAAATATAAACAAAGAAATTGCAGGACCACATAATTATTAGCTTTTAGGTTTTGAGAAATTCTCTTGTTTTTGGGTTCAGTAACAGGAAACTCTATATAATTAATTTAGTTTAGTTATATATATCTTGATTTTTGCATTATCTAATATTTTTATTATTTGTGCATCACTAATATACATTACTTCATTGTTTGCATGTGATTCTTAGCCTTTAATAAGTTTTTTTATTATAGAATCTGATGTAATGCTTAATCTGTGGCTGCTTTACTTTTTGATTATATGATCTATTATCACTTTGCATAAATAATAAAAGATATTTTCAAAGCTTTGATCAATAGGTTATGTTTTTATTATGATAAGACAAATTCAGTGAGTTTGCTATTCTGGTCTAAAATAAAAATGACTAATTACTTATAATAAATATATACTATCTGATTGTTAAAAAGTCATCTAATTAAGAACACAATATTATTTAATTGTATAATATTTTTTATATGCTTTTATTTATATTATATAATTAATTTTAGCATAACCAAAAAAACCAAATTTATACATTATTATTCTATTGAGTAATAAAATATTTGTCAATAGTTATTTGTTTAAGACTAGATCAGTAAAAACTTTCTGCCTTTTTAATAATTGTTGTAACAAATAAATATCATCTTCTGTAGCAAATTGTGATTATTTAAGATACTTTTTCACAACTTCCAATACCATTTTCCTCTTATAATATGGAATCCATTCATCTTCAACTTCCTTCTTCTCTTCTTCCTTATTATTATCTGAATCTTCATTGTCAACCAAACCTTGCTCTTTAAGAATATCTCTAATAACAGATTCTTTGGTCAGTATATCCATCATTTGTAATTTATCATCCATGTTTACATATTTCTCTGCTAACAATTTAATACAATTATATGACATTTCTAGTTCTTTTAACATATCTTTAAGCTTATCCATATCATTATTACCTGTTTCATTAGTTAAATCTATTTTTAATGGAAGTATTTTCATTTTATTTCAACAATTAATGATCATTGTGAGTGATACTTGTTTTTATGCATCAGAAATTAAATAAATGGCTTTCTTAACATTAATTGGCTCAAAAGACTTTCTATTTTCTATATTATTTATCCATTTTGTTACTAATAATTTATGATAATTAGCTTTAAAATTTTTAATAATTCTAGTATCACATAGTTGAATAACCAATATAGTATATAGTAACAAAAATTCCAACTTAATATTTCACAACTTGGGACTTGAGTATGCAGCACAATTATCAGCTAAGAGAATAGTTGGCTAATTGACTTAACTATCTAACTATTTCAACCAATTTTCCTATTTTGTTTCAGTCATCTATGTGGTTTTATTGTTAGAATAATGTATAGGTAATTTAGATATATTAGTAGTTTTCATATATTGTAGATGTGCACTTTTACCTATTACAAATGATTTAAATTTTCATGTTCCTGATACATTGCAGCAAAAAAGTATAGTGAGTCATTGTTTGTCTTTTTTTAAATCCTTTAGCAGCATCACTTTTAGATACAAGTGTTTTGTCTAGCTTAAGACAAAAATAGAGACCTGTCTCAACTGCATTAAGAATATTGTCAGAATAATAATCTTTGAGTAATTCTTAAAAATAACATCATCCACTTTCGATTGCAACCTTATTAGCTGATTCACTTTCTTTAGATATAGTCTTTTAATTAATATCAAATCGACACTGAATCCAAATACCCAACCATTAGATGTCTCAAATGTAGAAGAAAATTCTATACTGTTATCTTTAAGCTGTTCATATATAAAAAATGCTTTGGTTTTGAGTATGTTCTAAGAAACAGAAACATTCTGAGAACAAAAATTTAAAAACAACTTATATATAGCCTCATCAATAATATGAAACTGTTCCTTTTGTATATGAACATGTTGTTGCACATGAGAAGGTATAGTATTATATAACTAAAGATATTTATCTTTATTTTATAAAATGTTGCTTACTATGAACCTATCAATACTATATTGTTTTGCCAAATCCTGATAACTTAGTTTTGCATTTTCTTCTTTCTTTTTAATAATCTCAACTTTTTTTTCTAAAGTGATAGCAGATCTTTTTTTCACTTTTTATTAATACTAAACTTAGTAGCAGACATCTTGCAATGAATTAAGATAAGCAATACTAATAGATAGTTTTAAACCCCAATTTTATTTAATATAAAAGAGTTCTAATTTTTATATGTATTATATAATTATGAATATCTATTTGTCATTCAATAATTAATATAAATTAGGAATATTATGATTCACTATTTAAGAATAGATAAGATTTTTTAATAAAGAATATGCTATATATTAATTTTTTGGTTGCTTTATTTATTGTTATTATACATATTATTCCAATTTAATATAAGCCTTTAAGCATTTATTCTTAAATTTTGTATTGCTAGCAATTTCAAGATTTATCTTTTCATATATATTTATAATTGCCTTATCTAAATTTGTATAATGCATTAATGCATAAAACCAAGGTTTGATTTTTTTTTTTGTCATACAGACATCAGATGCAAATTAATAATTGTATAACTTGTTGAAAGCAATATATTATATTGCTTGAGATTGTAACCAAAAGATAGCATGATGTTACTGATAAGATTTGAATTGAAAATCAGGAGTTATACTATAAATTTGTAAAGATAAGATCTTATAGTTAATAGTGAGAAACAAAAACTAATTGTTAATAAATGAACATTTTCTACTTACAATTCAACACAGTTTTGCATACACTTTTTGATTCTTTGATGACTACAAATCACTGGTAGACTTCTCTATACTTCTTATTTAGAAACATTATTTGCTATTGCATCTTATACTAATGACAGCTTCTCTATACACCCCAACCATAATCTATACTTTACTTCTTTTTTTATTTAATTTTTAATTTGTGGGAAATGTGATCTACTAATCACCTATTCTATTTATATATTGCTACATACTTGATTTAACATCAAACTATAATTATATATTTAATGCATTGGTATTAATCAGATAATATAATTATGCCAAGCTACAATAGACTCTATGCATGTATTGTAAACAATAAAGTTTATTGATCTAACAAATATATACATAATTCAACTAATTATATGATCGTATTCTCTTACAGTTTACTTTCTTGAATTGTGAAAAGTTATTTTTGATTTCAAGCATTACTTTTTTCAACTTTACTGTTTAATTATCTATTTAAGTTCTATTGGCCCAATTAGATCTTTCAGGATTACAAAAGATAAGACTTTTTAAAATTATCTATCTTTATATATTATTGCATTACTTTTTTTAAACAGTGCTAACTATTTTCTATATTCTTTTTTTAGCTTTCTCTTATTCAGATTATTCTGTTTTAGAGGCATTAAATTTCATGTATAAGTTTCACTATTTATAACTTTTACTACTTTATTTTACTAATTTTATTTATTAAATTAAGCTTCAAACTCCCTATTATTGAAGCCTTGCTATCTATTGTACTTCCTTCTCTATTTTTTTGGATAGGTACATTTGGTCATATGTATATATGTACATATATTATGAAAAGTAAATTGTTATTGTATTTAGTTGTTGCTGCAAGCTCAAGGTAGTGCAGTTCTAGTAATTTTTGGGATCATGAAAATTACAAAAATCATGTAAAATATAAGAAATTTTTATAAATCTAAATAATAGTTACAATTTGCAACAAAACACAATTTCTATAATATTGAATAGATAATAGTAATTTGAAAGTAAAATAAAGAAATGACAAATTAGTTAGTATATTAAAAAATTATTGTTATTTATATAATTATAATATATGAAAATTATATATAAAGATAACAACACTTTCTCTTAGATAAAAAACAACTCTTAATATCAAAGCTTTAAAATTAATATAGCAAAGTATCCAAGCAGTATTCAAATCCTTTTTTTCCAAACATATTAGTTGTAATATTCATATATTCATATTTTTTTGTTCTTATAATTTTCATTGTCCCAAAATCATTAGTTAGTAAGAGATAAAAAGAAAGATCGTATTAATAATCAAGATCCTTTTTATATAAACAAATAGTAATTGTCTTTGTGATCAAATTCATTGTTACCAAATACTACATAATCATATTTTGGCATCTCTAAATGCTGAAATAAGTCATATGACTCAAATAAGCTATGAACAAGTTCAATGATCATCATAATTGTAAAAAAAAATTTTTTTAACTTTTTTATATATGTTAAAGTACTTTTACTTTTATGATTTTTCAGTTAAAAAAGAAGTAATAAAAAGAACTTTTAAATACCTACTGTATATTCTATTAAAATTAATCAAAAATAATTACAGTATTTAAAATATTTTATTAGAAACAATGTTTATAGGAGATCTAAGGTAATTGAATCTGTAATTCGAGTACACAAAAGCATTTTGGTATTAAAATAAAAAAAGAGTGATATGTAACTAAGTCCTGGTACTTCATGAAAGATGCACAAATGGTCTCAAATAACGTTTATACAAAGAACTGAGTAAAAGGTTGAGTTAACTACATTTTATATTCATTAAAATATAGAAAATTATATGATATCAACTTATCATTTTTAGTTTACTAAACTTTAACTATTGTTATTCTAAGATATGATATAAAAACAATTTGAAAGAATATACCTTATTAGTTAAATTAAGTAAAGATAATAAATTTGTAGAGAAAACTGAATTTTTAATAAAATAAATATAAGTGAAATTAGAGTTTAGATTATTGTTGATATTTTATGAACCCATGGTTAGAATTCAGCAATTTTTATAATATTCAATTTGTCTCAATAAGATGAATTAATTGATATAAAAATTATTAAATTTAAGTCATTAGATTGTGAGATATCTTCGATTTAGTAAAATAAAAATTTAAAAATCATTATTGATTATAATAAGAAAAGATGTCACTGGCATTTACAATTGCATCTAGACCAATAAAACATAAGTAAAGTAAACTAAACAACTATAACAATGCTAAATAGTATAGTAAAATAGATCTTTGCAATTGAATTGTTGTATTAAATAAATTTGCAAATAATAAATTTAAATATATATAAGAATTGCAACTGAAAAATTAGTTAGAATAATTCACAATTATAAGAATCACATAATTTAAGATATACAAAAACTGGTTTATTCAATCTATACTATATGTTAAATAGTTAAAAATTATTTATAATTATTAATTTCTGTTTGATCCAATATTATTATTTATATTATATTATCTGAGATATAAGTTATGCAGGCTAATTACTATTTATATTATAAAGCTATTGGGGATAAAGATATTATTCAAATATAATATAAGTGAGATATAAATTAGGTAAAATAAACATAGAAAATTTATTCTATCAAAAAGTGGTAATATAATTCAAGTTGGGATTTAACCCAATAGAGATATAACTTAGATATGACTGTATATCTCTTACATTAAAGCATTTGTCTTTATTTGCTAGTTCTTGCTCTAACTCTTTGCTATTTATAGGTTTTAGTACTGCTTCTGCTCTTTTACTTATCAACTTTAGTGTCCTAGTTTCTTCTGGTTTTGTTTGTATTGACATCTGGCTATGCTTGTATAACTATTTCTAAATGCTTCTATTACATGCATTTTGTAATACTTATGTGTCTATTCTGCTTATTCTGTACATGTTTGTTTGTTTGTTTTCTCATATATTCATGTGATTCAAAATGATTTGCAATTTCAGATTAATGCTGTTTTTCCAAAATTTTCTTTTTGGTTTCTATTTTGTTAAGCTTGTTTTCTTTTTACTTGCTATGTCTTTTTTATTTTTCTTATTGTTGTGCTTACTAGGTTTGTTTTAGATGCTCTTTCTTTTTGTTTAAGTCTCTAACTGTTGTTTTGACACTAGTTTTTGTATAAAATTTAATTTTTTTTTTTTAAGTTTGTGTTTTAGTGATTGGTAGGAAAAGTTTTTTTTAATTTTTTTGATTTTAGACTATA